CTTTAGTTGGGCTCTTGACCCTTGACTTCTGAGTTAGATTTGTTTTCTTCTCTGGCTGTTATAACCATGTGTTTATGAATCATAATTGTTATAACACAGATGCTCAGCGAAAATGCAATCAGATATTGGTGGTTATATATTGATGATGTCAATATATGATGAATCTCAACAATGATAACGGTTAAGAAAATATATATATAGTTTATTTATTTAGTCATTCAGCAAATGCTTTTATCCAAAGCGACTTATAAATTAGGACAATAAAAGCAGGCAAAACTAACAAAAGAGCAACAAAATATAAGTGTAAATGGCAAGTCTCGGTTAGCCTAATAATATGTATATATATAATATTATACAATGGTCACCATTGTTGAGGTTCATATGCTGATTAATGATGTCTGTGTGAGTCTGGTTATTTCCATAGATGAAAACATTTTGTGCTTAAACTGTTTGGAAAATGTTTTATTATGATAACTGTTCCCAACATTGTTCCCTAGCTGTTTTATTGACATATTTCTGTAGTTGAAACCGTGATTGAATGATTACATATATATGTAATCATATATAAACATATAGATATGTTTTATTGCAGTAAGTTTTTCTGTTTCTTTCAACACCTTCTGATGTTCATTCATGTTTATTTTTGCTGTAATTAGTAGCAAAGAGGTAGAGATGATTGATTCATGTCCTGCTTGAACTGAGGCAAAACAGTGAATGCCTCATTAAAGAGTATCAAAGCATATATAGTTTGTATTCCGTGATAAAATTGACAGATTTTAAAGTGGAGAATATGTTTCTTATTAAAAGTAACAAAGAACAAAGCTTTTTGTTTGTCTTTTGTCAGTGTCACCAGGAGGAGAAGACAGAGACCAGAGTCTACAAAACCCAGTAGTGTGTCTATGAAGAGCAGCAGATCCTTGATGCAACCCCCTGTATTCAGTGGTGGAACACTGACCTCTGACCCCAGGTTAGTTACTAGCCACATATGCATTTGTCAGATGCTTTTATGTTTTCTCTGTACTTTTCCTTATATTCATGTACTTTTGAGAACAATCTTGATCTTTGTATTACAGAATTTCTTTGTACTCCTTATTTGTAAATTGTTTTGGAAAAACTTATGCAAATTCAAGTCTAGCCATCTTTATTTTTATATTGCTTTAT